AGTCAACCCTGTTCCCAGACTTGGCCCCTTGGTGAACTGGTGGCCCTGAGAAGGATCACAAGGATCAAGCTAGGAATAACTCTGGGTGCCTGCGCCATGTGACCACTTGCTGAGGATTAAAGAGAAGTGCTCTTAGCTCTGTGCCAAGGGGGATCCATATGTGGCTTATGTGGAAAGGAAGAGAGGGTTCTTCTGGTAGAACTAGGACACGGATGAGTTGTGAAGCATGCCTGGGTTATAGCATAACCCCAAGATGGGCTGCAGAAGGACTATGAACGCAGATACCAGGGCTAGACTAGATCTGGAAGGAGGTCTCCCTAAAAAGCCCAATGGGCTAGAGTAGCACCCGCAGAGCTTCCCTGCTCAAGGGGAGCGGAGCGAGAACCAGGGGAGACAACCCAAGGAAGGAAGGGTTTGTGTGTGGAAAGGCCAGAGGAATGGTATTTGTTTTGTGAGGTCTGAATAAACTAAACCCCCCAAGAAGGGGAATATTATTAAAAGCTTGTGAGTGCATGAGAATTGACTGGAGACCCAAGAGGGGGCATTGCGATGGACTGACAGTGGTGCCATACTATGGGGCAAGGGTTGCTGGGACTAATCCCTTGTTACATGCCATAGAGGCTTACTTCATGGGAGCTTTGGGACTGGAGCACCCATCAAAAAAAAAGTAGTGGGTGCTTAATACTGTGCCTTCCCCTCCCCTCCCAGCACCTCCAATCAGCTGTGATGAGCTGTTCAGAGGTATGCAGGAGATGCGGGGACAGGGGGCGAGGAAGAGGAGGACAGGTGGGGATGGCATCTTAGGGGAATGGGTGGGGTGGGGGCTGGGCTTGGGGCAGAGCAAGAATCAAGTGCCTTCTAGGATCCGACTAAATCAGCACCTACAACACAGGGTGCCCTATACAAGCAGAGATGATGACAGAGGGTCAAGTGCATCCCTGGGGTCACTCCATCGAAGCCAATGGAACTACCCCTGAAATGAATTTGGTCTCAGGTCTCTGTGCTGAGCAGCACTAACCAGCAGTTCATCAGCTGCTAGGCCTGCCAAAAAAATAACATCGAGGAAGTGCTGCAGATGAGTGGGGGTGGGCATAGAAAAAACCCAATGGCATTCATCTGCACGGTCTCCGGGTGAGTGTTTAATTGAGGGTTTCAGGTGACTGTACAAATGCAGAGACAAAATTCAAATCTCTGAGGGTATGTCTACACTACCCTCCTAGTTCAAACTAGGAGGGTAATGTAGGCATACTGCACTTGCAAATGAAGCCCGGGATCTGAATTTCCTGGGCTTCATTTGCATAAGCGGGGAGCCGTCATTTTTAAAACCCCGCTCGTTCGAACCCCGTGCAGCGCGGCTACATGGGGCACGAACTAGGTAGTTCGAACTAGGCTTCCTAGTTCGAACTACCGTTACTCCTCATTCCACGAGGAGTAACAGTAGTTCGAATTAGAAAGCCTAATTCGAACTACCTACTCCGTGCCATGTGTAGCCGCGGGCACGGAGTCCTTAACGGGGATTTAAAAATGGCGGCGCCCGGCAAGATGCAAATGAAGCCTGGGATATTTAAATCCCGGGCTTCATTTGCAACTTCGAATGACTACATTAACCACCCTAGTTCAAACTAGGGTGGTAGTGTAGACATACCCTGAGTTAATCTCAAATTGGAAAGACACCTCCCACCGCCTGGCAGAGAGGGAACGGTCACCTGTAGCCTCCGTGCGGTTTGGGAGCATGTGAATTGACTCTGAAGGAACTGGCTCCCACATGTAAATTCTGCCATTAGAAAGGCACCCACAGCTCCTACAGGCCTCCGTGGGAACTGCAGATGTGGAGATGAGGCTAAATGCTGTTCTTGGTTACACTTTACAAACACCATTAAACCACTGGTGTCATGCAGGTGAAAATGGGGGCAGAGCTGATACCCAAATATCTGTTCTAGCGGGGAAGTGAAATTGCAAGGGAAAGAAAATTCTTTCAGACTCATAAAAACACTGGGGTGTGGCTAGGGTTGCCAGGTGTCCGGTTTTGAACTGGACAGTCCAGTATTTGAACTTTCTGATCAGGAAAGAAATTGAGAAAATATAAATGAGAAAATATAAATGTCTGGTATTTTCTAAATAAGATGCAATGTAAATTGTGATATAATGTCAAGTGTGTCAGTAGTTTTGTTGAAGCCATCTGGCAACCTTAGGTGTGGTTTACTCCTTGGGAACTGGTACTTGGACAAACTGTTTTAGACACAATATCACCCATGACAGGGGAATTCCATCAAAGTTTGCTAGGGTGGAGTCTTCACCAGAGCACTTTCCATTTGGGATTGGGGGGAAGATCTGAAGAGGGTGATAGACCTGACCTCATTCTTTGGTTTCTCCTTCCTCCAACTACAAACATAGCCCTTCCAGGGGAAAAAAATATCTCTCAGGTATCCATGGTCTCCCCTAGCCCATTCTTCAGCCCATCAATACACAATGTCACTGGGATTGGCAACGTCTTTCTGTTTTCTTCTTGTTGAAGATGTGGCTTTCCCTCTCCATTTCCATTTCTCTTGGCCCTCACTGACGACACTGTTTCTTCACTGGTGTGTAAGTGACAGGGTTAACAGGCCAGAAAACAAAGTACATATTGAGACAAAGAACACAATGGAGATCCCCTTTTAGTCCGAGGCCTGGCACCACACCATGTGGCAACACTTTATTCTGAATCAGACAATGAGCTAGGCAGGTGTGGAAAATTCACAAGCTCAAATGATTGGTGCAGAATAGGTCCTTAGCTAGGTATGTCTTTCCCACTCTACCACCACTTGGGGTATATCTATACTTGCAACCGGCCTGCTCACTTTGATTGAGCTAGTGCCCTAAAATCAGAAGTGTAGCCATCACAGCGTGAGTGTTGGGATGGGCTCACTGCCTGACCACGGCAACCCTGCCCAGGCCCTGGCCTATGCCCTTACTTCTTTCTGGTGGTAAACCCGTCATGCTACTCATGCTGCTGCCGCTATATTGCAACTTTTTGGTCAATCATAGCTAGTGGGCCTATGTCAATTTTAGCTGAAAAATGACACCTCGAGCTCAAAGGGTAGATGTCTGGGCGCCACATTTCAAGAAAGATGTGGAGAAATGGGAAAGGGTATAGAGAAGAGTGACAAGAATGATTAAAGGTCTAGAGAACATGACCTATGAAGCCAGGCTTCATGAACTGGGCTTGTTTAGTTTGGAAAAAAGAAGATTAAGGGGGGACATGATAGCGGTTTTCAAATATCTAAAAGGGTGTCACAACGAGGAAGGAGAAAATTTGTTCCTCTTGGTTTCTGAGGACAGGACAAGGAGTAATGGGCTTAAAGTGCAGCAAGGGAGGTTTAGATTGGACATTAGGAAAAAAATCCTAACTGTCAGGGTGGTCAAATATTGGAATAAATTGCCAAGGGAGGTGGTGGAATCTCCCTCTCTGGAGATATTTAAGAACAGGTTAGATAGACATCTGTCAGGGATGGTGTAGACGGAGCTTGGTCCTGCCTTGAGGGCGGGGGGCTGGACTCGATGACCTCTCGAGGTCCCTTCCAGTCCTATGATTCTATGATTCTATGTACTGTGAGACTTTGAAGATACAGGCTAAAGTCTGTACAAGGGAAGTGATTAAGGAGTAAAACTGAGTCCTTCTCAGATACATTTTATATAGTACACATCCCATTTCAGGACTCCCCCGCTCTGTTCTTGGGTCTGGTTCCCATGTAGCCAGACTCCAGGACAAGTTTTTGAAAAGAATCCCTTTTTGTCAAAACCAGGATGTCCCCATGGAGGAGAAGGAGGAGAGAGGAATGTTCATGTCTGGAGGTCCCATGGGACAAAAGAAGCAATGGCATCCAGCTTTCTGTTCATCCTCTCACTTAGGCACCAATTCTCCTGCTCATTTCAGACCCAAGCTGACAGAAGAATATGGGGCACTTTCTGAGCAGTAAAAGGAAAAAGGAGAAAGAAAGCGATTGCGGGTCAAAGAGACAGACAAAAACTAAGCTTAGCTAAGGCAAAGCAACGTTTTCAGCTGTCAGCCAAAATGAAGCTCTTCAATCAGGCTTTGTCTAGCTTTGTTTAAAAATAGACCCTCTCATTCCCTTTCCATTAGCCATTATTGCTTCTCTTTTTGTCTCCTCTCTATTCTCTGTGTGGACAGTAACTTGGAAACCAGGAGATACCCAGAATCCCAAACCATGGTGATGATTTGTCATAAATGACTTGATAGGCAGAAATGCTGCAAGTTTGAACCCTAAAGAGATTAAGTCTAGCTTGTAAGTGATTCATTAATAGCTATCGATCACATATTTAAAACAAACCTACACAAAACCCTATGATGCTTCCAAACTGTACACTTAACCAATATAAACAACCTTATTTTTCTATTCCTATCACACTTCTCTTCTTCCTTCCCCTCCATCCCTTGTGCACTACACCAACTTGTTATGTTCTGCCTCTACTTCGACTGTGAAGACTGAGGCAGATTGTTTTTTATTTTAGGTGATTATACCACTCAACACTTGATAGCGACAAGATCCTTCGGGTGCTACAGTAAGAGAAATAGGTAATAATGGGAGGAGCTATTTGAGACTGCCAAATATCAAGAGGAAAAGAGAAGGAAATGGATCTTGGAATGGATCCATTGGATTTATTCACCCTTGGAATGGAATTGAGAGGTAGCAGCAGGCAGAAGCAGCTGGATTCTAGATTCCCTTGGAATGAACTGTAGGTGCAGATCCGTAGGAAGAGGAGAAAATCCTGAATTGGATTTCTATGTCTCCTGCACCAAATTCTGATTGCATCCTCGTGGAAGGAAGAGAAGAACCAGATTTGCATTTATATACTTTGGAATAGACACTGTATGCAGCCTCCAGGAAGACAAGAACCTGATCTAGATTCCTCCAATCCCTGGACTAGACTAGGTTACAGCTTGGAAACACTCGGTCATAAAATAGGATTCCACTAGGGGTGAGAGGCCAACCTGTACTTACGATTATCAGCAAGATAAAGTAGATAAAGTTGTAGAATGAATGAGCGTCCATCACATAATACATGATCTCCACCCACCCTTCCAGTGTGATCACCTGCAAAGAGAAGAGACAGCCAGGATGTGGGATTTCTGGATTCATGCAGCCTGGTACAATATTCATTTCTACATATGGCACAGGCTGTTGCTGGTGAGCAGTGGGGAAGACTCAAACCTCAACAAAGTTGAGAAACGAGCCGTTCCAAGGAGGTCACACTTCCAGACCAGAATGTCAGTGGCTGCTTCTAGGTGAAGAGACAGGCTAACAGAGCTGGAATGAGTATGTTCATGGGGTGTGACTGCAGCTCAGGCAGACATACCCAAGCCAGTTAGGTACCAGAACAGCTGTGGCTGAATGGACTTCCATGCAGGCTCTACAAACTCACCCAGAGCCCTGGGTAATTATTTGCAGAGCTAGTCTTTATTGATGTATGGCATAGCTCGGGAACCCAAGGAAGGTAGATCAATGCTTGTTCAAGTATGCCTGCTTGAGCTGTAATCCCATCCCATGACTGCAATCTAGATATCACCTAGGACTGCATTAGTCACCAATTGAGGGATTCATTCAAATGATTTGTTTCCCTGGAACAAAGGAAGGAAAACCTGAATTGGATTTGTGGGCCCTCTAAATTGGATTCAGGGTACAGCTTCTGGATTGAGGAGGAGAAGACACAGACCTGGATTTCCATTCCCACTAGCAGTGAATTTTAGAACCTAAATCTGGGTTACAAATTCAACATCCTTCTCAATCCAAATCACTGCAGTAGGGAGAACAAGAGAGTTGGAATGCGGCACTTTAACTCGTTTCAATTAGGAATTGGAAAAGCATGGGGCAAGAGAAGGCTCTGCTCACAAACCTGGATTGAGGACAGGAAGCCAACTTTATTTTACCTGAAATATAACAATCCAGGCATAGCCAATATTGTCAAAGTTGATGGCACCCTTATGTGGGTTGGCACTGCCTGTGCGGCACACGTTGTAGTACTGGTTCCAGTTGACACACATGCCACTGACATTGAACTCCTGTTTGACGGAGTTGTAGTAATAATAGTCATCTTTATCCAGGCAGCATTCGTGGCCCCTCTCCTTCAGCGGGGGGATCTCATGACAGCCCATGATGCCATTGTCTCCTGACAGCGAGCAGATAAAGGGCATCTCGTCATCCTCCTCAGGTTGGTAATAGGGAGGGAGAATGATGTCGCCTTGTCTAGGAAGAGGAAAAATGTGCTAACAACGTTACTGTGACCAACACGCACCTTTCTGACAGTTGCGGAGCTGGGAAATCCCACTTTGGAGCATGAAATCTGCATATAAAGGGGCTTCAGATTTATGGGGGCTGAGTGGAGCTGTGGGAAGTTTCTGGATTTGCTCCCTGGTTTTGCAGAACCATATTTAGGATCGAACTGCACAATCCCAAGACAAACCCTGCCACCACCAGATTTGGGGGATAGGAAGATTTTACAGCTGCCAAAGGAAAGTTTGCATTTTCATAAAAATGACGGTGGACCTTGTGCAGTCAGCTCTTTCACCTGGTGGGCAACAAAGCATACAATTGATGCAATGTAAAGCAAGTGTACACAGCTACATGGTGATGTACCTGTGAATGTGATCATCAATGTTATAACATTTGGCAGTAAACTTTCTATAATAAAGTACAAACCCATAGTAATGCAAAGTTAAAGTGCACAATTAAGTTCTCAAGAGATAATAAATTAAGAAATCAAAACCGAACAAACAACCTTAACTCTGACCAGTGTTCCCTGTAAACTATGCACCTGTGTGGCTAGTCAGGAGAGACTGAAATGCTGCACAGCTGATTAGCAGAGCACCCTCAGCTAGCTTACTTCTTTCTACTGGTGGTGCACATTCACACATGCCTTGCTGCACATAAAAAGTTTATTCTGCACACGTGTGGAAAAAATCCACACATGGATGGAAAAAATTAGAAGGTACATTGATACTGAATCAAGATCACATGATACTTCTGCAGTGACACAATCTGCTCTACAATCTTCAAAATATACATGTATCTGAAATAATTTATGCTCACCTAATATAGAACTGGACTATAGTAAGCAAACAAAAGAGAGATTTAGGATTTTGAATTCAACCTTTACTCGTGCATTTCCAGTCTTCTCAGACCTACAAAACACACCTCGATGTTGCATTAATATAGGTGGGTTTTGAGGGGTTTTTTGCATTAAATATTATGGCCAATGGAAATGTGTTCAAAGAAAAAAGAAAAGTTACTAATTCTGTAACTAATAGACACTAATCTATAAAGGCATATTACTATAATTAATACATTGAGTCTCTGTAGACATAGCCAACCATGGTCAGCCAAAGATTAACTAATGTCCGATGGTTGTGCAGACTGGGGGCCTGATTCACCTTACATTTACAGTAGTTCTGCATTTCTGTAATTCCATTATCTCATTAGTATTACTCTTCATTTGTGCTGGTGCACATGAAAGAAGCAGCTGTGTGTTTTGCCTGTCGGTAGGGACAGTTCTGTTGGAGGGATCACGCTGTTTGGAACTGGTGCTCTGCTCCCTCCACGCAAGGTAAATGGAGCATGGGTCACCCACAGTGCTTTTCCTGGTTCAGTATGTTATTGAAGGAAATGAACGGAGCTCTACCTGCTCTGTCTGACCATAGATAACAACAATGCTAATCATGCCTATTTGCATATGACATTTTCCATAGGCAGATCTCAAAGCGCCTCACAATCTCCCTCCACCCATTTATTTATCCTCATCATACTCCTTTAAGATAGGGAAGTACCATTATCCATATTTTACAGAGGGGGAACTGAGGCACAGAGAGACTAAGTAACTTGCCCAAGGTCACACAGGAAGTCCAGGGGAAAGCCAGGTCTCTCACATTCTAAACCAGTCTCCTAATCACTGGGCCAGCCTTCACTTGTTCAGGTAGAGCACCCAGATCACTTTCAAGCATGCACCGTGCAGCACAGAGATCCTGTCTGACAGTCCACATATGCTTATCTGCCAGACTGAAGAGCCTGTTATCAAATATTTGTTCCCCATGCAGGTACCAACAGGCCATAATCAAGTTACCCTTAACTTACTCTTTGTTAAGCTAAGGACATGGAGCGCCTTGGGTCTTTCACTATAAGCTCTGTCCTCTAACCCACTAGCTAGTCTGGCTCGTTCATGGCACTGGAATGACCTCTTGAGGCTGTGGGCAGGACCAGTCCCAGCTCACCTGAGAGCCTGGCAGCTACAAAGACGGTGTACAGGCATCATTGCCCTTTTTCCCCTCTGATGTATGCAGAATGCAGCTCAGTATCAGGGTCCTACATCCCTTGTGCATGGGTGGTAGTGACTGCAATGGGAGATTGGGGCTCTTGCCTGTTGAGATGAGATGCTTTTCACTGGGACTGTTTAATCGGATTTAGTGAAACCCAGGGGGATGGGAGAGGCAGCAGTGGGATCCCAAAAATGAAGATTTTTTGGTTGCTCTGGCTGGCACAGAAGAGGAATGCTGCTGTAGCCCTACTACACTGACAGGTCCTTTCTGCAGACAGAGGTAGCTCTGAGAGTGTGTGCATGTAAGGAAACTGGAACCTTTCTGGCTGGGGTTTTAGCACCCTGGGCACTGCCTCTGGAAATTTTCAGGGACAGAGAGAAGAGAGAAGGAAGTAAAGAGTAGGGAGGGGAAGGAAGGAATCCCCCAGCAGATAGGACAGAGGAGGTAGCCATCTCCCGTGCACTCACATTGTGAAGTTCTCCTCCATGAAACAGCGGTTCCTGAGCAGACCAGCCCACAGCTGCACTCCGATGATGCCAAAGATGAAGAAGACAAAGAAGCAGAGAAGCAGAACATTCCCCAGCATGGGCAGGGTGTCCAAGAGCAAATTCACCAGGATCCGCATGCCTGCAGGGGGGGGAGGAGGAGGAGAGATTGAGATGGAAGGAGAGAAAGGGAGATGCAGAAAGAGAGAACAGTAGAAGAGGGGAAGAGAAAAAAAAGGAAAAGATGGAGAGAGAAAATTACATGAAAATAAAATGGGAGGCAGACTGGAAATTCATTATTGTCCAATTCAGGCTGGGTATATGGTCACTGCCCCCCAGCCCGACTTCCAAATGACAGGCAGGGGACAAAGCCATTTCTGTTCAGCATCCTTTACCCCAGGCCACACGTTATAGCCCCAGGAAGGAAGGATGATGATAAAGCTTGTGATGGGGTTGCCAGCGATAGCAGGAGACTGGACTCCATGGCCCAGGAGGTCTCTGCCAGGCCTGTCTTCCTACAAGGTTTTTGGCACAATCACTATTTGACATGCTATTGCATCTTCTTCCTTTGCCACAGAAGGGCGATGGGGTGAATACACCACCCTAAAATCCATGCGAATCAACAACTCTAGGGTTGGCTGGCATGGACCTCCTGGGTCATAGCAGCTGTCTGGCTGCATGGTCACCTGTGAGAAATGAGCTGGAAGCCAATTCCTAGTGGGATGAATGTGCATCACCCAAACACAAATCCCTCATCAAACTGGCATGGGTTGGCCTTTGCAGTCACAGCTTCCTCACACAGATAAGGTGGGTGAGGTGATATTTTTTATGGGACCAACTTCTGTTGGTGAAAGAGAGGAACTTTCAAGCTACACAGAGCTCATGGAGGCCAAATTCCCTTCTCCTCTCTAGTGAGCCCTCCAAGACAGGGCTGAGGTGCGCTGGGGGATGGTGCTGTACAAAGGAAGCTTTCACGGCTACTGCCTAGGCTATACCTGGTCTCTGGCAAAACAGGCCATTCAGGGCTGTCAATTTTGTGTTTAAATTATTGTATGAAGAATTTTGGCTGTGTTGTTTTCATCTGACTCTTTGCCTCACGGTGCCAAGGGACGGACTGACAGGGTAAGGCCAGCCTCCCTCCACTGCTAAATTAATTACATTTCCTCTGGTCTCCAAGGAGGCTGAAATTCTAGAAATCATTTGGCGCATTAAACAAGCTCCTTTTCCCTCTGCCTCCCCCCACTCCTCTCTCTTTCACATACAGACACACACACACCCCTCCCCACTCCTCCACTGAGACTTCCCCCACCAGGGGTCCAGGGAATTCCATCACGCAAGACGCTCCATGTAGGCCAGCATATAATTAGCTAATTAGATATTTATAACTAGTTCATTACTTCAGATGGCAGTAGAAGGGGAAGGGGGAGGGAAAGATAAGATTAGGATTCAGTGACAGCCCCTCGAGGTACCAGATAATCCCTCTTTTATGCCCACTGTCAAGTAATTAGTCACATCAAGTTGTGCTTTACATTATGTCTCAGTTTCCTGTGGTGTTTCATTCCTACTGCTGAGGGAGAGGACCGTGGGCATGTAGAGAAGTGTCATGTGTGGGCAATAAGCGTGGATGAGGATTAAGGCACATTTGTACCAGTGGAGATGTTTATTATACCTGGGTAAGAAGGTGGGAATGGAGGAGAAGAGTGTATCTGTATGGTGAGAGGCTGTGGCTATAGTGTGAGGCATGTACATGGGGCAGACAGGTGTGTGTATCTGTGTGACAAGATGGCATGAGTGTGAGGGGTAAATATATTTAATATTGACAAGATGTGTGTTCCAGCCTTACAATTTGTGAAGCCCTAAACCAGTGTGTGTGGAGGTGTCTGGTGAATTTCCTTTCCTTCTGGTTCCACTGCGGGAGGGAGTGAAAGAGCTGGTCCATGTGTGATTTGAAGAGTTAATTCAGGGCTTTACATGTTCATCCTGGCATTGGTCTGTGTGTGTGTGCAGTGGGGAGTAAGGAGCAGCACGCAGAATTCCAGGATTGGGGACCTATATATGAGAGGGAGATGGCAGAAGGAATCAAACAGTCCCTTCTAGACTTACAAACATAAGTCTTTGGGTGGTTACAATGCCCCAGTCTCTAGACTGTCCAGATGTCCCATTAGTCTTCAGTGAGTCATCTTGTAATCTAGTAAGGCATCAGTAGTTTGCTACCGCAGGGTTACATCTGCAGCCTCTTGCCTGAGAGTATTTGCCTGTATCTGACTTCCTGATTCATACTACAAAAAGCCCAATAGTGCAGCCACAGAACTGTGTGCTGCTATCGCGCTGACTTCTGGGTCTCCGGAAACAAACCTTTTACAGCATTACCAACTTACAGCTCTACCCCAGAACTGCAGTGTAACGGGCTTCCATCTACAATACTATCACACATTGTAATCCTATTCACTCTCATAAGCTAGACTGGCTCAGACTTGGTAATATGTAGATGGAAGACCTGCAGGGAAATCCAGGCCTCATAGGAGCCTGTGTAGGTAATAGAATAGAGTGATAAACTGAGACAACATCTCTACTTATCCTTTGATCAATGCTCCAGAGATCAATCCTCTGGCATTCGATTTAGCAGGTCTAGTAAGGACCCACTAAATCAAATGTTGAGGGCACCTCCATCGGCGCTGGTACTCCTACCTTGTGAGGAATAAGGGAAGTCGACAGGAGCATTTCTCCCATTGACTTCCGGCTGTGGAGACGACGTGAAAGTTTGAATCAAGTTACGTCGACTCCAGCTATGCAATTAACACAGCTGGAGTTGCATATCTTGATTCAAACGTATCCCCTAGTGTAGACCTGGCCTGACTTTCCACTAAATCATTACTCAACCAAAGCTCCATGCTGGTGTTTGGGGATGATGCTATCTTTCAGATGAGACACGGATGTGAGGTCCTCTTGACTACAGCAAGACAGAAAGTTTCAGAGGACACATTGTTTTGTCAAAATTTGCCCATTTGATAAAATGGAAACATTTTGCAGTTTGTGCAATTTTGCTGAAGTTCCGAAGGAATGCAGACAGATTCTAAAATCTACCTGTATTTCCTCTTGGCACCTGTCTACCTTACTGCCAGATCATCTGCTGGGCTCCTCATCAAGCTGGGAATCACACATCCTGCTCAAAGTGTAAATTTCACACTGCAAAAAATAATAGATAAGGCTGCGAGGGACTCTGGGCTGAGCATGCAACAATGAAATGTCAGCTGATGAGTAGAGAGACAAGGTGCGTGAAATAATACCTTTTATTGGACAAACATTGGTTGGTGAGAGAGACAAGCTTTTACAGAGCTCTTTTGAGTCTGGCAAACATACTTAGGTCTGGTTTACACCACACACCTATGTCAATATAACTACGGTGCTTAGCAGTGTGGAAAATCCACACCCCATGAGCAATGCAATTATACTGACCTAGCTCCTGTGTAGATGGTGCTATGTCTGCAAGAGGGCTTCTCCCACCAACATAGCTATCACCTCTCAGGGTATGTCTACACTACAGAGTTTTGTTGGAAACACAGCTGTTTTTCCAACAAAACTTGAAGAATGTCCACACTGCAAATGCATTTTTTCTGCAAGAAAATCGAAAGAACAGAGGGGTTTTCCAGCACTGGTAATCCTCATTCTAGGAGGAAGCCTTTTTGTGAAAGCTCTTTAGCAAAAAGGTGTGTGCAGACAGGGAAGAGGCGAAAAGAGGAAAAAGCACAGGTGCCCTGGCGGCCATTCCATCCATAGTAATCACAGCTTATATGTGAGAGAGTGTTCCTTCAGTCTGGACGCTCTCTTTTGAAAAAGCAGATGGCTTTTTTGATGCACTTTTGTTGTCCGGACGCTCTCTTTCGGAAGAAGTTTTTTCGGAAGATCTCTTCCGCAAAAAGTTTATTTGGAAAGAAGCCTGCAGTCTAGCCGCAGAGAGGTGGTTTAACTATGGTGATGGGAGAGCCCTGTCCCATCATCTTAGGGCTTTGGGCTGATCTTCACTGGCATGGGGCTGCGCTGAAACTTTCTTACTCAGCATGAAAACATCACACAGACGCTCCCCGTTGTAAAGCACCAGTGTAGACAGGCTCCCAGCTCTGGGGGCTACTATGCCCCTCATTGATTTTATCAAAGCACTGGGAGAGCCACAGCAGGGCTTTAATCTGGTAAGTGCAAACAAAGCCTTAGAATGACTTTCATTGAAGTGCTAGGCTATAGTGGTGCAGCTGCACCAGAGCAGCTAGGCTGAAGCAGCATTTTAAGTGTAAACTTGCCCTCGGGGTATCATAGCTAACTACAAGGTGGAAGAGATTGTGTAGCATTAAGTAGTTAACACATATTTCAAGGGCTCCAATCATAGGGGGAAGCTGAAGGGAGGGGGGAAAGGCAGCTGGAGGGGCAGTTGTGAGCGGGTTACAGATTGTTGGAATAAGACGTAAGTTCCATGTTTCTATTCAGTCCATGATTTTTAGTGTCTAGCAGAGTTATGAATTTAAGCTCCAGGCTCAGCTTTTGAAAGTGTGCGGGTTTTCTTTGAAAATGAGGACTAAGAGGTCAGACAAAGAGTGATGGTTCTGTGAAAAGTGTTCGCCCACAGGTGATAGGGGTGGTTTTGTCTTTTACCTTTTTCCTGCAGGAGTTCATTCCAGCATGCCATGATTCTTTTCACCCACAGAGTTGCTATTGGGGCATTTGGGGTATGTCTAAACAGGGATAAAAACACCCACTGCTGCTCTGCACCAGCTGACTCAGGCTTGCAGGGCTCGGACTCTGGGGCTGAAGGATGGCTGTGTGCACCTGTGGGCTTGGTGTGGAGCCTGAGCTCTGGGAGCCTATGAGAGTGGAGGGCTGCACTGGAGGAAGTGTTTGCCTGTGTAGCTGTACCCACAGAACACTGGACAAGATGCACTGCATGCACCAGCAGGGACAGCCTCACTGTGCCCCGGCTCCAGCCAGAGCCAATGGGGGCAGGGTAGCTGCCTGCCACCACATGGCCCCGCCAGAACACACCACTATCACCACTCATCTTCCAGTCCAGCAGGAAAGGGAGTGGTGGTGAGTGCTGCTCTGCTGGCAAGGTGGGCGGGCCTAAAATTTCTTGTGCGTGGCCACACAGGCACG